TAACAAAGAAAAGATTATTTTGTAATACTTTTCAAAAGTAATGCATGGTGGAAGCTGTTAATGTGGTAGAGGAACTACTTTTTACATTGCAAGAATAAGACTAACTAAACTGTTTCCAAACTAGTAAACAGACATTCTGGCGGGAAGAATGTACAGGTACAGTATTACCATCTTAAATATTTATCCTCTAACCCTGAGTACATAATGGCCAGTAACTGACCAACTCTGTCTAGCTGTGGAAAAACCCTTGCTCCCTCATTTGGCAAAAACCGTACTGTCCTTGTAAGCTTAGTTTTTATTACTGTATATTGTACGTAAGTCTATATGGACCAGACCACATTAGGCACTGAGTGGCCTAAGTACTGTAGCTATGGTAGGAACACATTAGTAAGAGTCATTCACAAATTCTACTGGAAATTTCTTTAACAAATGAAGCAAATTCAATATGATATATTCAATGATATATTGCGTAAGATGAAAACTGTTTTACTGCACATACTCTAGTAGCTTAACAAGAGGCACATTCAGAAGAATATCTTCACTAGAATTATTGGTCTTGTTGGGCATCATCAGGGAACCCTTTGGATCACACAGTCCAGCGTTGTGTTGAGGTAATAGGCAATGCACGAATCTCAACTTACTCGACGTAAATTCTCAATTATACCATCCTGGAAAATAAATAATTTTTTTCTAAAACTGTGCTGTACACAATTTCTTTTCAAATATGATAACAGATATGTACACACCTCTCACTAAAATCCACAAGATGATATAAGTACTACATGTACTAATAGCTGAGCTCCAATCACAGTGAGGTCATTTTTCAGGAAACAAAAACAATAAATTAATGTAAAAGAATTCTGTATAGTACTTAAACCCAACAAAAAAAAGAATCAAATTTTGTCTTCATTTGGAGTTGTAGGTCTATAAATTAACATTACTTTTAAACTATAAGAGTTGAGTAAAAGTACAGTACAAAAGTTTTTCAACCAGGAAAAATATTTTCCTAAATTGAAATTATGACAATTACATATTGCAATATGGACTGAAAATTTTAGTCAGTGTAACTCATTACTTACTACAGAATTTAACTCTGCAAGCAAACACTTTTGCGCTTGATGCCTGCTGTCCCTTGGTGGAAAGCTTGATAGAGGATGCCTTCGTATGACTGTGATCCTCAATACCCACAACTGATCCACTGATGGTGTTGCTGACTGGACCTCGGCTAAACACAAACAGCCTATAAGGTTTCTGTAATAGACATGAAATTTTGCAAAATTAACACCACAGTAGTTATCAATTTAGGAAAATGTTTAATGTCTACACATGTCTTAAATACTTGGGGGCTATAGGTACTAATGCTACAGCACTGTACTTGTTAAAGACTCAGTATTGGTTAATCTGCTGGATATGCAATAAAGAGGTCATTTAGTATACTCTACCAACAGTTAAGAGGTTCCTATATGTCAATTTTTGGCATTAGCATTCTTTAACTTTCTCAAAGATATAAGTATACACCTAGAAGTATCTGTCAATGGAGATACAGTACCATTTATCAATATCTAAAACACTACTAACTGCAATAGAAAGAATAATAATGCATTAATTAATCCATATTTCTACTGTATATGATGACACATGTTTGCTGCATCTTCTCAAACTTACTCCCTCAGCCAGTGCTCTCTAACCAAGGGACTCTCTTTACACTAGTTCCACTTGTCTCACATAAATCCCTCTTTATACCTAATCATTTTTCCCATCACTTCTTCATGTCCATACTACCTTAGCTTATTGTCTTGACTTTATCAAAACACTTCCTTCCAATTTCCATATCTACTACTGTACAGTACAGGTTTCAATCTCTTTCATTCAAATCCCATACACTATTTCATCCATTCTAGTCTGCACACTCATGTCATCACCTTTCCACTTCCAATTGTGATTCTATCCACTACTGCCACCTTACTGCTCTTGAGCTTTAAAGGCAGTCATACCTCCTCCTTTACCCGTCTTTATTTCTTCCAATTAACATGATCCCAAAAGGATAATTCCACCTCACTCTCATTTGTTATATTTACCAGATGTTGAAAATATTCACTCTGCTCTTGTACTGACTCTATTACTGAAATACTGTAAAGCCTCTCTTTCACTCTCAACTGCCATTTCCATTTGTTGGTCTTGGTTTTTCAGCCAATACAGTGTCCTCCAGAACAGATTCTTGTTATCTTTAAAACCATGTATGTAACAGCCTTTCCATCATTTATCTGCTCATCTTTGTATTATTACACAATCTTCTACTTTCCTTCAAATTTTCTGTACTTCTGCCTTCTTTTAATCACTTTTCCTTATAAGTGACATTCACATACATCTCTTCTCCTTGTTTTTCCAATTATCTTGTATCCTCACATCTAATATATATATATATATATATATATATATATATATATATATATATATATATATATATATATATATATATATATATATATATATATATATATATATATATATATATATATATATATATACACAGTGATTTCAATATAAATTTGAAGTTAAGTAATCTTACTTGTTGGACTCTTTTAGGAGTGCAGCTGTTTGTCCATGACAGGGTTTTTCTTGATGCCTTGAGCCAATGTTGGATGGAGTAAGAACAGGATTGGAATTTTGAAGTGTTGTAGTGTGAACTGATGTGGAGCTGCTCCTTTTAACAGTTGTGAGTACTCTAAAAAATAAAATAAAAACATTAGATAAAGTCTCCACAGTACACAGATGATGATAGCAATTCTGTGGTATAATCTGTGCATTTGACTATTAAGTTCAAGTTTTTTTTCAATTCCCTTTACAACTGAACTATGGGCAAATTTCTTCTCTTTTTTTTCCTTGTCTTCCCAAAAGTGATTAAGGGCTAGATATATATCCACTGGTGAATTATATTCAAGTTAGTGCTAAGCCATTGCTGGTCAAATGTTCACTTTTCTTAGCTTTTCCCTTCACCTGGATCACACATTCACAGACTATAGGTGGCAATGGTGTATTAGCATCCGCCTCTACACCTAAACACATTTCTACCAAAGTGGCTAAAATGTTGGCTGATTTTATTAATTGCAAGCTATTTAATGTATTATCTACTTTCAATAAACCATATTCTCAAAATTATGTAGAGAACACTCATATAAAAGGAATATTGTACAGACAAACTGAGTCACTAAAACAAGTTCTATTACTGGTTTTATAGACTTAATGCAAAATCTAAAAAAAAAAAAAATACAGAATTATTATATCAAATTAGATAGATTTCTTACTATTTGCTTTATCATTTAAAGAACAAGTTGTGTATATAAAGCAGACACAAATTAACAAGTGCTATAGGTAGCTGATGGCAAAGAGAAAAAAAAAAAGAAGACCAAGAAACTTAAAGATCTGGAACATAGCAACAGTTGTTTAATATGATGAATAAGAAAGAGGATAAACATAAAATAGCAAAAAACTAATGGTACACACCCCTGTTTTTGGAGTAAAGGTAGAAGGATATTGAGTCCGAGGTGAGAATGAAGAAAGAGTTATTACTGTACTGTGGGTGTGTGGTAGAGTGCAGGGGGTGGGAGTGGAAATGGTGTGATGGAATACTGTGCTAACAAAGAAACTCTTAGTGTGACGTCCTGTTGAAAATGGATATACAGTAGATACATAGTGAAATAATTACTATTTCTTCAATGATGGATGAAATCTTCTGTTCAATATAGTATCAAAAGATCATAAGAGAATGCCTCTAGCAACAATCCTGTGAAAGTTTAAAGTTATATAATAATTTTAAGAATTTAAAAGGTTGGAGAGCCATAACAGTATTATATAATTGTAGCAGGGGAATTTTTTTAACATATTACAAACATTTAAGTAACAGAAGGGTCTAAGAACTGTGAGAATTAATTACTTAAAAATGAACAAGTGCAACAAGTGAGATCATTAAGAGCGTGTTATGAGGATTATACCTTTTGCCCTTTATGTAGGGAAGAGGAAATTTAGAAAAAATGGATTCATGAATTAGTGTTGTCTGTTTAGGTAATAGGAAAAGACCCTGTTTAAATGTGCCTTAGATTCAATTACAGTATACAAAATACCATGGTTTTTATATGTTAGCTATGGTATTACAATAACTACAGCCATGCACAAACAGGGGAGCCAGGATTGTTTGATTTTTCAGTTTTAATTAGAAATGTAGATTAATTTTTACTACATATATTTTACCTATCTCTTTCTCTCCTCCTCCCACATAAGTGAAACATTAACCTCGTGAAAGGAAGAAACAATCACATACTGAGTTGACTTATTTGGGAGGGTTTATGGAGAAATACTCCTGGGTTCATTTGTCTTATAAATGACTTCCATAGGTAAACATTAAGGGCAATATACTTTAATACAACCATAGACATACCTCTATCTCCATAATGAGCATATAGTCTCTCCAGGAATGATTGATGGTACCAGGGAAGATTGCCTCCTCATCAAAAGCCATAGCAGTCTCAAATTCGATCAGATTCTATGAAGTCTATTTGAGATGTCCTAACAACACAGTTGGTGGCTTTGTCTATGAGGGGCAATCAGAGGTGCAGTACCAATTTCATCAGCAGCATCTCATACTCAATGTTTTTCCTGAAGCGAAAACTTGGATGAGAATTTTTCAATGCCTTCTAACAATTGTGATGTATAAATTTACGCATAGAAAAGAAGGCAGACTTATACATATAAACATTATCATATAACACAAAGTTACATGTATCCCATCACATGAACACTCTTTTCCTCCTCCAAAACAGCATAATTCTGTTATATTAAAAAAAAATAATCTTAGCATAATAATGATCACTAGAAGCAGAGTGCCACACAAGCCCACCTGGGCATATCTATCAGTCTGGAGCAGTAAAAGTGGTGTCATGGAAAAGCATCTGGAAGCGCTCTTGAGTGTAGTTGTGAGATCTTGGAGAAAATGAGCACCTGAGGTCCTCCCATGAAGCTGGATTTTGCAGGCCTGGTGCATCAACCACCAGTATGGAGTTGGAAGTGTGAGCTGACGTTGATATACACCTGAAATTGCACAGAGATTTCAGTCTGTCAGCATGTATATTTTGTATCATTTTACAGTGCAGTACAGTGATATCTCCATTAGCTGAACAGTTGATACAGAGCACTTCGGGGGTAAGAGATTTATAGATGGCTTGACTCTCTAAGCTGGAAAAAAATCTGTCCCGAATTTTACGGGTAATGGAAAAATGTTCACAAGTTCCAGAAATTGCCCATTACATCATCTCTCGGACCCAGAAAAATATCCCATCCCGGGATTTTTAGGGTAGTTAGGAAAATGTTCTCAGAATTTTCGAACATGTGTCCTGGAAAATCATTAAATGGTAGGAATTTTCTGGAAAATTCTGGCTTTGGGGATTTGTCGGAAATTTCAATTCTGGTATTGGAGTTCGGGTTGGGGATTCGGTTCTGATATCTTTTTAGCTCTTTATATCATGACGGTAACCATGAGGTGGCAGCAGATTTCAAGACTAGTGCAACTGTTACCGTTAAAGATCAATGAAGATGCAAAGGGAGGATAGAACTGTACTGTAACAGGACCTTTAACAATGGAACTGCGTGTTTCATCATTCTAACAATATACTGTTTTTGGGTTAGTTTAAAAATGTCTATACTTTTGAAGTTACTTGAAACCTTAATTGACATGAAGTTGTTTACTTATCCATGATGCAAAATCAATGAGGTTTATAAGAAATTGTTCTAACTGATGTCAAGGAAATAATTATTCAGTTAAACTAAGTAGAGGTACAGTATACTATTTGATGAGATTTCTGAAGACGTTTGCAAGAAATAATGTAATGTACCTAAACTAAGACCTTTTCATGAAATATTTATTATTCCATTAATGGTTAGAGAGAGAATGTGAGAAGTCTGTAAGAATAAACGTAATGAGAAACAAGATGGTTGTGGAAGAGAAAGAGGTTGGGAAGTGAAAGATAGAGAGGAGAGAGCAGGGCTGACGTATAGGACAAATTAATACAGTACAGGGTATTAAAACAGTAAGGAGTACTGTATGCAAATGTAATAAGTTGGTTACAATAAGGGAAAAAAAAACTTGTGTTGATCTACAAAACTGAAAATAATTTCTGTAAGACCCACCTGACTGTGTAGTAGGGAATATAAATCTGATGTACAGTATTAAGACACAAAGTCAAAGGTTTATTATTGTGAGAGTTATAGTCAAGGGAACTGGTGGTTAATGTCTTGTACTTAGCTCCTGTGCCATAATTATTATTAATGAAAAGGAAGTAATTTACTAGGTCTTTATATATTCAATGTGGTTTATTTTTAATCCAATTCAAATTTCATATCACTAAAATCTGGGTCTTTAAATACATATTTGGTAAACATGGCCATTCCTTTTCCCCATTCCAGAGAGTGTTTTCAGTTCCTATAACCTCTTTCCACTACTGATTAAATCAAAATAAGAAGGACAATACAGTACTGTACACTAAATTAAAAGTACTGTACAGTATCAACTAACCTATTGATGAGAGCCACAATGGCATTGAATGCTTCACTATATAGACCAGTTGCCATGCCCTCTAGAGCCTCCAGACCTTCAGGACGCCTCAGTGGGCCTCTGTTGGTGATGCAGTTCTGTTGGAAAAAATAAAAGTCATTGTTACTTTGCCCTTTACAAAACAAACTACAGTTGTCAGTTTTAGGTTTGAAGTTCTGATACTGTGAGAAAGACAAAATGTGAAATTCACTTCATAAATAATGCCATTCACAATGAAAGTATCAATAAGTTATTGTTCAATTGAAAGAAATATGTGAACTGGTGTAACATCTACTTTAAGGACTTAAAAAATTGTCTTCTTAAAATATGTATGTTAAATCTAACGCAGTACTGTAATAAAATTACTGCTTAATAATTCTTTACTTCCCGTTTTGACAGATAATACACATCAATTGAAAATATAGCCCAAAAACTTTATTTTTTTTGGAAATGTGAACTTCTACAGATTAGTAAATGATGTAACTGCATAACAAAGGTATTGAGACAGCTGTGAGAATTCAGCCAAATGTTGATGGGTGCATAATATGTAAATCATTATGGTTATGTTTCTAAGGACTCACAATCAGACACTGGAGAGGCATATTTTTAGCAATAAACAGTACAGTACAAGGACAGCACACAAGGTCCTAAGTAACGTGTTACCATGCAAACTAATATCATTAACTATTATAACCGCACTGCATGACTGAACACCAAACTGAGTTTTCAGAGAAGTGGTTCTAAACAACAATAAAATGACAGACTATTCACTGGTGAGAGCAGTGGGTAAGTGAAGAATTTTTTTTTAGGTAGAGGCTAACAAAGTGTGAGTCTTCAATGAATGGTGAATGACGGCCACAGGGAGACTACTGCTACATCATAGTCTATATCTCATTATGTAAACAGTGCAACCTAAGTCATCAATTTTTAAGGATTTTTCCATGAGTGTTACACAAGCTTCTGAGGTGACTTGGAAACTTTTCTCACATGAGGAGGCATGACTAAAGAGGTCAAGGAAGGTGCCAGAATGTCAGGGAATCCAAACACTGTACCTATCACCATAACCAGCATGTTGAATCATGTCAATAATCTCATCAAATGTATCGTGAGACCACTGAAGAGAGAAGACGTGAATAGTTTCAGAGAAATGCCTACCAACTCCTGTGATCCTAGGTATATCTAAACTAATACATAACGGGAAACTATTAAAGCATGTAAGAGCAGAATTTGCTATTACAATTACAGTATCTGACTTACACATGTGACTGAAAAAATGAAACATGTAAGAAAATTGGTGATAAAGTAATACTGTACAATTACCAGAGAAAGTTCAGAAACTTTGCCCATTCTATGTATTAGTACTGTACTACTGTATATATATTTTTTAAAGTGAAGTTTTTATTTTCCACTGTGGTATAACAAGTGCCATAAACTATGAACAAAAATAACTACTGTACAGGGTTATTTTTAAACAAAAATTTGTACTGACCTTTATAAATATGGAGTTACTGTACTACAAACAAATTGCTCACTATATAATTTAATGCAGAATTAAACATCAATAGATGTTTAATTTTAAAAGACTACCTCTGTAAATTGTCATTACAGTTCTGTATTGCTTCAAGACATCAACATTAGATGAGATAACATGAAATGCAAGGAAAAAGGTTGAAAATTTCAATGGCCTTATGCAATATGTAGGTACACTACAGTAGTTACTGTATAATCAAATAGAAAACTAAGTATCAAAAGCAAAAGACAATTTCTCAAACAGAATCTAAGTTAATATGATAAGCAATGACCTAACATTGGACACCACAGACAAACAAAGTGGCATCATCTGGGTTACACTCCTCTCCTCTTACACAAACTTCACCATTGAGATTTTTAAAATTTCATTGTCTATTTCTTGGACTCAGGATACACTGTTGCACCAGCAAATACTGTATTAAATGTAATAAATAGATTATTTTCTGTCTTATATTAGTACTAGGCTGACTGTTAAAGAGAAACTTTATACTGTACAGCACTGTACATCTGAAATCTTTATATAAACCTCAAGATTTCTAAATACATTACTGAGGCAGTTGTAAATAAAAGTTTAATATTAATTCACAGTGCCTTTCAATACCTGTACTGTGTCACTTTGTAAAATTATTAGCCCACAAGGCCTGTATGTAACTTAGGTTTGAAGGACTTATATTGTATTATCAAACTGCAACATCTGTTCAGCATCTATTAATTTCCACAGATATACTGGACTAACCTATACTGTACAAAAAATTTAGAAGATGGAAAACTCAGTCAAAGCTCAAAGTATCTACAGTCTGAAAATGATGTGTTTAGTTTTGTCAAATGAGGTACAGTTCTACCATAAGCCTGGAAAGAATGAGTATTCTTGATACTGTAATGTACATTACAGTATAATGTTTGCAGACCTGCTGGCCATAGTTACTTAGGGCAACAACACTACTGGGGCTAAGTGTACTCATGTATTAAAATTACAATTATCATTGGCACACAGACAGTCCAGATTTACATTTATGGTGGCCTGAAGCCTCTGTTCAGTGGCCTAAACATTTATACAGTATTTAGTTACACTCAAATGAACAACACACTTTAATAAAATTAACTGACTGATCAACTATGTTTATACAGTATACAGTACCTGTACATGTAAAATCTGTATATTAAAATTATTTAATTAACAACCTAAACAAAATGCCTTCCATTTAATGTACAGTATACTCTCAATTTCAGAGACCAATATAATTTAATAAAAAATTAAATACAGGTAGTCCAATCTCATCTTGTCTACAGCAACTACTGTTTCTGTGCTCGGTATTTCCCACAACAAATAGACCAATTTTGAGTGTTTTTTTTTAATACATCAAATTACCTTCACCAGATCATTTAAAATTAAACAGGATCAAGGACACAGAGATATAGAAGAGGTTGATATGCAAAACCCAAAAGCATCTCAAGTCTTTGTCACAGCAAGATTACTGTACTACAGTATTGTCAGTTACTCAGTAGTTCCACAGCTCTTTGTTTTGTGTCATGAACTATAACTCACTTAACTTCTGGTTGGCATTACTATAAGAAAGCAAAGCAATTTAATTACTGATGCAAATTCAATATCTATCACATTACCATCTCTCATATTGAGAAAATAGTTAAAAAATCAAAGGCATGTACTATTGATAACTCCTATACTGTAAAGTCATGCATACAAGTACACCTCACACATAAACAAACTTTCACTCAAAGTCAACATGTGTAAACATATACAGTACATACATTTGAAGATGCAATAAACATGAAGGTGATAACAAACCTGAATGAGGCTCTAGTAGAAGGTGTGGTAGGTGTGGCATAAAAGATAGAACGAGCCAATTCTTCAACTGATGTTCCAAGGAGGGTTGAGCACGCTGGGCACTGCCTGGCTTACTGAACTGGAACTTGTTACCAGTGGCAGCTGCAAGTCATAAAAAAATAAAAATGAGTACTGTACCCTGTAATTAAATCTAGACTCAGTGAAAGGGTGTACACAGTATTGCAATGATATACTGGTATATATATATATATATATATATATATATATATATATATATATATATATATATATATATATATATATATATATATATATATATATATATATATTAAATCATTATATATATATATGATAATATATATATATATATATATATATATATATATATATATATATATATATATATATATATATATATATATATATATATATATTATATATATATACACACACACACACACAATTCTGGTGTCCTGCCCAAAAACCTGGCTTTCACAAAAATAGAGCATATACCAGTAATTATTCTTTTTGAAAACTCAAAGTATATATAGAAAGACCAAAACAAGCTTTTACTTGAACCAAAATAAGGCAGATTACAATTTAATATGAAGAAATGTAAAGTTCTAAGGCTAGGAAATGGAAACAGGGTAACCAGCTATCACGTGAATACGGAAGAAATAAGAAATTAACTTGTGATAAAGATTTTCCGGATGCTGTTATGGTAAGTAGGGACCTAATATCTAGACAAAAATGTGTTGGTGTATGTAATAGACTAACAGGGTACAACTACTGTACTAGGGTTTATATACTAGAGCATCAATAACAGAAACAGCAGTGATATTTTATAACCCTGTTTAGCATAGTAAGGATTCTCTAGAAAGCATTCAAGAAGGATGACAAACCTAATCCATATTAGGAACCTTTCATGTCGATAAATATTTCAGAAAAGTGAATTTACATTCTCTCGAGACACAGAGCAAGGAACAAGAGCCCCTAAGAAAAACCATCAGTTAAAGTGCATAGTAGAGCAAAATCACCCCTTTTTTTAATTAAAGTTTCTTAAAGTTAGGTCAGGTTTTTATCCTAGAGGTATTTTGTCCTCGGAGGGATTTATTTGAGGATTTTTGTCCTACACTCAGCAAAGGGGTACCATGCTTGCTCCAACATTCAAGTTTGGTAGGCTTAATATTATTATTTTATAAGTTTATAGCAAAACTTACTACTATACTGTAAAATGAGCTTGATACATCAAGTTTATATGAATTTATTAAGAAGAAGTTCCATGAAACAATTACATGGCAATATCTCTTACTGCATACAATAAACACAAGCATACAGATTAGCACCATGAACAACATAAATGTTCAATCATACAGATTAACACCATCCATGAACAATAAAAATTTTCATGTTTAAAACTTATCCCAAGTGTACACAGACTACATCAAAGTATAATAGCCTATACTGTAAGCTGCATTTGTCAAGTGCATCATATATCAATATTTACACAACTGGGTTTGAACTTGGAGATCTTTCCTGTACATAAGCATGACACAAGAATAATCCACAAGACCCATTGCCCCTCCCAAACAGATGCCCATAACCATCTTATTGTAACAGTAACTATTCAGTACTCATGTGATACATAAATACCCATTGATCTATTATTATTCAACCATGAACCTCATCAGGTATGAAATAGCCTACAGTAGTTAGAAAAATACACTTAACAAATGTTAATCCATTTTACATCACCACATTTATTATGCATTAACTCCAAAAAATTAACTTTAATTATCTACATAAAAATAAAAATCATATAAAGCATAAATCTTATCTCTTACTTCTAACAGCTCCTGCAGTTCAAGATGATATATTGCTGCAGGACACTCAAATAGTATTCTGTTCATCAGGTGATACTCCCAGTACGCCAAGAGCAGCCCGATTCTCGCCCAAGCTATGCCAGCCTTTTGTCGATCTTCACTCTGTGGTAAAATTATAATATTCATGTTAGGTTAGTTGTTAGAGTAGCTTATGAAGACAACATAACAAATACTGTATTGTAGAGGTATACTGTGTCCATGTGTACCAAGGTTACATATTTGCATCAATGTCAACAAAATAAGGTATAAACAAGGGAAGTTACGGATTTCTTGCCAAGGCTGCATGCTTGACATTTTTAATTTTACAGTTGCAAGCTTGCAATGATTCACTGCACTTATAATTCACACTAAAAGTTACTAAATCTTAAGTTTATTCTAGTCATTAAACCTAGTTACTAGACTTCACAAAGCTAAAGTGGAAACTGGACTTTTAGGTGATACAGTATTAGAATTTAGACTAAATAACCACACCACCCAGAGCCAAAGATGCAAATATGATTATTCAACTGTATTATACAGAGCGAGCTGTGAAATTAACAGTCAGTAGAGAACAGTACTGAACAAATCACACAGGGATTTACAACAAACTACATCATGATGTCAAGCGTTCTGAGGACCAGGCTAGTTATACAAGTACTGTAATACACTTTTCGACAGAACAAGTGAGCAAATACACATGGTGATAATTATTTAAGGCCTGCTCATATCTATTCATGCCCTTGGCTAAGTAATAATGGGACAACAGTAGTTTTTAATAACACCTGGACAATGTACATGTATACGGTATAACTTATTTCTGTATTAAGGTCCAGTACCCTTACCCTTTGTAGTGGTGTCATAAGAGGTTTGGCTCAGACAGGTTGTCAAGGCCCAGTGATCCTGGAGGTCATTGTCTGCACCAGAGAGGAGTTGATAGAATATATGATAGTTTGGTTCCCCTTCAGGTCGCGAACCACTCGAGTTTTTTTGGCATGTACACCTGGAAGAATTATAGTCACAGTACTCATAAATTTCAGAATTTTATTGAAAATGAATCTTGTATGTAATCTGCTACAATAATTGAATTAAGAGAATAAAAATATTATAAAATAAATGATAAATATCAAAGCCTATGAATTAAGAGCCTCAAGTATTGATGGTGTAACAATACAGTACAGTACTGTCATCATCATGAATTTGTGACATATGACTGAATGTAGTCACAAAGAAAACAGCTCCATCACACACAAAGCAATGAACATTAAATTTTATGATGTGATTTGGAAAATGTGATTTGTCATATGAAAAAGAGTTGACATGAGCAAGTAAAGTAACTGAACAGGCTACAAGTCGATCTTTCATAAGACTTTATAAATGATAAGAATTCTTACTTGTACTGAAGCTGATGCAATTTGTCCAGAGTGATCAAAATCAAGGCTGAATATCTGGTGAAGCGGTGGCATTTGTGTTCATTACTGTCCGACTGTTGCCAAAAGCTTCAATACGTTGATATGGCATTCAGTTTTCCACTGAAAATCAACATCATGATCAACTGAATATACAGCACCAAAATTAGACAATAAAACAATAATGTGACATTCTATTGTACGTAGTAAAACAAATGTGTAGGTCTACAGGTTTTCCTACATTATAAT